TATATATATATATCCTGTCCAAGTTTCTACCACTTTTGAACACTCCTGATGCCTTATTTAAATTAGAATAAGTGATTTTAATATAGTTCTACAAGACTTGGAATGGATGATGAATGCTGAAGGGTGAAGTAGTGGTGGCCTCTACAGAAGGTAAGTGGAACTAACTTGCCTACAGTCACAAGACACACAGGTGCTATAGTAACAGGAAAGCATGCTGGGAACATGTCTCAGAATGTGAGACAGCAGACTTCCATATCAAACAGAGTTCTGCTCTAAAGAAAATGAAAATATGTATGTTCTGTGGTAGCTTCAATTTTCTACAGTATCATTCCTTTTCTGTTTAGTTTTCAGAGGGCACAGATCACTCTTTTGTTTCCTTCACAAAACAGACAATGACAGAAAAGCTTTTTGGAGAGAAAAATGAAAAACTGGGAAGGAGAATACCTTAATAACTTAAAACATTAAGAAAAAAAAAAAATTAAGAGGCCTGGAGGGCTGGTGAGATGGTTCAGTGGTCTAAAGCACCTATATAGAACAAGCTAAGCTAAAGTACAGTGACTGTGGTTCAATCCCCCAGCACCACATGCCAGCCAGCCCCGCTCCCTGGTGGGCTGAGCTGGCCACACACACTAAATAAATAAATAAACAAATAAAATTTAAAAAAAAAAGAGGCCTGGAGACCTCTCAGTGAGGTTGAGTCAGGAGGTGCTGCCCACCCTGGTACTATGAAACTGCAAGAGAGGCTGGAGCAAAACATCAAAGCTCTGCAGAAAGAAATTAAGTAATGTAACAAACTCCTAAAGCAGAAGATGGTCACTCTGGGATATCTCCAGACTGCTGTCAGGCTCACCCTATCTCTTCTGGAAGGTACTAAGCCAAAAGGAGTAACATGTGTGAGCAGGAGCCCTGCTGTAGAAATGGGTGGAGGTTGCTGCTGAGGAGAATCCTCAGAAGATATGCAAAGCAGAGCCCTGTGTTAGGCCTCAAAGAGAATGATAGTGAGGCCTGAGGACTGCTGAGAGGCTCCATGGAGAACGTGTCCTTGTGAGCCTGACACCACACCGCTGTGGGTCAGCATGTCTCCCAGCTGCTGGGGCTTGAGCAGCATGTGGTGCTACTATGATTCCATAACCAGTGCCAGTGGGGAAAATGATCAAGCAGTGACTACACCCAATGAGAGGATTCTGAGGCTGTGGGCCTTTCTGGAGTAGCCTTTCTCAGGGAACCCTTAGACTTTCCTCTGGTCCACCTTTCACTGTGCTGTACTCTTCAGTGCCTTTCCCTGGGGAACAGACTTTTCCAGTCCCATTCACTCCTATTGAGCTTCCCGGCATTCACACAGAGATGCTGCCCTCCCCAGGGATGAGGGCTGTGGAAAGAGAAGCTGCAGTTTGTAGTAAGACTTTAGGGAATATTTTCTTTATCCACTAAGGAAGAAAGCACAGAGGATGGAGGCAGCAAGTTTCAGGGAATCAGCTGGAGGGAAGGTGAAATTTAATTGTGTTGTTGGTATTAATTCCTACATCTTTCAATTAAAAAAAAAATTTTTGGGGGGGGCCCAGGGAGATAACTCAGTAGAATAAGTGCTTGCCCAGCAAGTGCAGGTCCTGAATTCAATCCCCAGTACCACAAAAAAAAAAAAAAAAAAAAAATGTATTTACTATAGGGTCTTAAGGGTCTCACTAGGCAGCTGACTGGACTCACAGTGATCCTCCTGTGTTTAGCCTCCCAAGTGCTGGGATTACAGGTGTGCACCATCACACCCAGGCTCACTCCTGTCTCAGTGTGCCCCAGGGGTGGGGCCCACAGAGCACACCCAGGGACTGAATTTGGTCCCTGTGCCTGCCTAAGCAGGCACTTTAATCCACTGAGCTATCTGGCCAGCCCTAAACAATTTGTTCTCAAAGAAACCAGGGATAAACAGGCAGGCAGGCAGGCAGGCAGGCATTGACACACAAGCTTACATTTCTGAACTTAGCTGTCCATGAATCCATATGATCAAGAAGTTGTCTATTCATTGTCACTCGTGCCCAAACCTATTAAAAATGTTTAATAATTAATGAAGAAAAATCTTGCCAGAAATCATTCCTTCCTGTTATCCTTAAAAATATTTGAACTTTGAAAATAATCTTCAAAACTATCAATATTTACTTATTATTCAGCAATTATCTTTACTATCCACTTAATGAGTCATTTATGCACAAATATAAAATTCCTGTATGTTTAAAGATTTTTTTTTTGTATTTTAGGGGTGGGGTCTACAGGGTCACACTACTAGATCAGACTCGTGATCTATGATTACAGGTGCAAGCCACCACACCCAGTCTCAGCATGCCCTGGGGGCAGGACCAGCACAGCAGGCCTGGGGATCAAATCCCTGGCCCCTGTACCTGCTTGCAGGTGCTTTAATTCACTGAGCTATTTGGCTGGCCCCTAAAGAATGGCTTTCTTTCCTTTTCTTTTTTTTTAATGTATTTTGCACAGGGTCTTACTACATAGCTCGGACTTGTAGTGATATGGCTTAGGGAACCCAGGGGCAGGGCCAGCATAGCATGTGGTGCTGGGATTGACATCTGGTCCCTGTGCTTGCCTAAGCAGGCACTTAGTCCGCTGAGCTATCTTGCTGGTCGTTTTTCTTGCTTTCAAGAATAAAATAAAAATCCCACATTGGGCATTAAAATGATAAAGTTACATATTATCAAATTTCTAATTGAATCCTTTAAAACCAAGAGCCTGGTATATGCTAACTATATAATCTATATATTAGATTAACTATTACGCTAACTATATATCTATATATTAGATATCTAAGAGCCTCTGTGTAATAAATGTAGAAAATATTTTAGGTCGGACATTAATGTCACCCATAGGGCATAGAGAGTAAATGTACAATATAAGTTAGTATTAATAGGAGGCTTTCCACTGTAACGAGTGCCGGATTTATAATTCTATCTAGTAAAAGTAGAGATTACAGGAAAATTGTGCCAGAAGACCTTCTAGCAATTTGAAAAATTATAAATATTAAGCTATTTTTATTTTCCATTTACCTCTTCTGCAGCTTGCTTAGAACTGAGATCAGCTTCATCTTTGTTAGCAGAAGGGGCCTGAGACCTACAGGCAAGCTGATACTGGAACTTTTTTAAAGTCTGTGCATAATCTCCCATAGAACGATTGTAGTTCCAAAACGTAGGGCTGTTGGAAGGAGAGGTAGAATCTGGGCTTCCTAAAATGACAAAAGAATTCAGTCAGGTATGGAAACGTTCCCATCCAAGTGCTAACCCATGAACCCTGGGTGTCTGGATTCCAGTCAAGGAATCACCACATCATGTTCTTTGGAGAGCATGGATTCCTTATGTTTAAAATTACAAAGAAGCTTGGCGTGGTGGCACAATTCTATAATCCCAGCACTGGCAGGCTGCGGCAGCAGGATCTTTGTGAGTTTGAGACCAGTCTGGGTTACAAAGTAAGCTCAAGGCCAGCCTGAACTGCATAGTGAGACTCTCTCAAAAAGATATCCCTCCTCTAAAAAAAGAAAGGTTAATCAGTGCATTTTTAGTAAAGGTATAAAGAAATAAAACTAAATTACCTGCTTTTTCTTAATGTATTTAGTACAGGGTTTACAGGGTCTCACTATGTAGATCGGACTGGTAGTGATCCTCCTGTTTTCAGCCTCCTAAGTGGTGGGATTACAGGCACGTGCCACCATGCCCAGTCTCATCTGAGTCTCAGCACACCCCAGGGGCAGAGTCAGCATGGCTTGTGGAGCTGAGGTTCAAACACTGGCCCCTGTGCTCTGCATAAGCAGGTGCTTTTATCTGCTGAGCTACCTGGGTGGCCCTTAAGTTACCTATTTTGAAGGGCATTTTTTGGGGGGATGGTTACTCGGAATTAAAATTCAGCACCTTGTGACTGAGGGGCAAGCACTGCGTTGGTGAGCTATAACCCTGGCTTGAAGGGCATTTTTTTATAACAGTTGGGTTTTTAATCAAACCAGCGACAGTGTTATAACTTAAAAGATAAGTGTCATAACTTAAAAGAATGCTATGAATTACACGTGGTTAAAAGTGTGTTTGGGCTAGGGAGATAGCTCGGCAGCCTAAGCACCTGCCTGGCAAATGCAAGGACTGGGGTTCAATCCCCAGTACTGCATGTGGTGCTGGTATCAGATGTTCCATGCTGGCCACTAAAACTGGGTGTAGTGGTACATCCCTGTAATCCCAGTGCTGGGGAGGAGACTGAGACAGGAGGATCACTGTGAGTCTGAGCTGGCTAGTGAGACCCTGTACCAAATAAATAAATAAATA